ATTTTTTCACATTTTCTGTATTTGTAAATAATTTCATTTAAAATATATTTAATGAGTACGTTATCTTGTGATGGTGCATTTCATTCTGAAAACAGATCCACCAGATAGAATCACGTGTAGTAACAAAACAGTTCTGGAGGGTGATGATGTCCAACTAGTTTGCAGTGCTAATGGTAACCCACCACCTGATATGATGTGGATAAGAAATGGAAATATTCAAGGCATGGGGAGTACGTTACTAATCAAAGGTGTAACAAAAAGCGAAGGTGGAACCTATACTTTCTTCACCAACAACAGTCTTGGTTATAAATCAATTGAAATATCCATTACTGTGCAAAGTGAGTACTAACTGAGACATTTATAAAAACATGATTGGAAGGAAATACGGAAATGCTATCATTTACCGAAACATTTCCACGCGATCTAAATTTAACTGTTTACGCCATTTAAATTCCTGAATATTTTTATCGATGTTCTTTAGATAACATGATTTGTTCTTTTTCAAAGTAATTTTCTAATAATATACTATAACGGAAAAAAGTTATATTGATGTAATTGATGCTAAATATTATTTTACTAGTTTGTAACTTAGAGAAAGCCACGCACCATATCTTGTTTATGAATACATTTTCGAATGCATCTCTACTTCAGTAAGGAGTAAATCACCAGAGATAACAAATCCGTACAAACAAGTAATATTGTTTAACGAGGGAAAAGACGTTAGTCTTGTTTGCAATGCCAGTGGATACCCAGTACCTAATATCACCTGGACGAAGCATGGCACTGTCATTGGTGTTGGACGAATATTCAAAACACGAGTAAAAAGGAACGATTCATCGTGTTACACGTGTACAGCAGATAATGGTATTGGACACGCCAAGAATGCCAGCATATGCTTAGATGTGCAATGTAAGTACGAAGTTTATCTTCTTCAGCTAATAAAATTAATTGTCAAGATCTGCATTAGCTCCTTTAAGACGGTATTGCATTACGAAGTAAACTCAGTCATGACTGTTGTATTGTGCTTTGGGCCATATTAAGGCTGTCATCCATGGATGAAATATGTTTATTTTTTCACAACTAAGTAACTGATTACATTCACAAAAAAAATTCTCAAAAGTTCTTACAAATGATCGTACAAACGACCGTGTTTCCCAATCACATGCAATAAAGACGTTTCTAATATTCCTTAGGCATGTGCCAATGCAAACATTTGTATTTTTCGACAATTATCATCAGTGGAAACACATTAATAATGTATGCTTGCATTGCTTTGTTTTTCGTTGTTTTTTGTTTTTTGTTTTGTTTTTTTTTTGTTTGTTTGTTTTTGTTTTTTTTGTTTTTTGTTTTATTGTTTTGTTTTGTTTTGTTTTTTTCCTCTCTTTTTTTCTTGCATTTATTTATTTTTTAACTTGTAGATCCACCTTCAAACGTAAAAATTACTCCATCAATTGCCAGTACATTTTTAAAAGAGGGCGATAATCTTTCCCTGTATTGTCAAGGTGACAGTAACCCAGATCCCACATACGCGTGGAGGCATAGCGGAGAATTGCTTACAAGTCAACAAAGCAGGTCATTGATTATCAAGAACATCAATCAAAGACAAAATGGATTATACCGATGTGAAGCAAAAAATCGCCTTGGGTTTGTTCTTTCAAAACCGATTGAAGTCGTTGTACAATGTGAGTAAGCAAAATAATTTATTTCGTTGTTGTAAAGTGCGCACCGTCGGCTTCCATTGATAGCAGTCGAATTTCAACTGAATGAACTACCGACGTTACTGAAATATAAGTGCTTTATCTTTACCTTTAATTTACAAAAGAGTTGTGGCAAAGGAAATGATGATTTTTAAATTACTAAAACGTGGTTTTCATTAAAGATACAATCATTAGCTTAACTACATGCGAAAATGAAAGACCATCACCTCCTGCACCTGCGAATGCGAATGCGACTGCACTTGCGCCTGCGCCTGCGTACCACCTGCGTATGTCGTTGTGCTTGTACTTACGTCGCTAATTCAGGCCTGTATAAAAATATGCATACAAAGGTAGCAAAAAATCGGCGGTAAGTTTTAGAATGCTGGGATAACTATCTATACCACTGGAATACTAATAAATGTAATTTATATAAAAATAAGAGAAATTCATGGTTTTTGGGCACATTCCAATATGCACATACGTTCTACCCAGAGAAAAACCCTCAATGCACAGGAGAGGACCAAAAATTTAAAACCAACTCTACTCAAATCAGTACGACACCGAGTCCGGTAGCATAGGTAAAAAGCGAGTGGTCTCACCACGATGGCACTTGTGCTTCCCCGCTTCCCTTCTGAAAGTGTACTATTGGTAATTAAATGATTGTCATGTAAAAAAAGCATATATGGGTTATGGCGTTGTATTTAGTCTAGTTGTCATTCCCTCATCCTTTCCTTGTGCTTATATTTGTTAGTAATACGGCATACATACAACTTTTAAGTCACATTACAAGGCAAAACCAGTTAAACAGTTAAACAGTTTGACTTTATGTCTTTAAACAGACTTAGACCCTTTGGAAGTGATTGGATCAAGTAACAAGAGCTACAGTCAGTCCAATCCACTGGTATTGTTCAACCTTAGTATCAACGCATATCCCAGTAACACATCCCTGTCTTGCAGTCCTTCTGCACCGAATATATTGACTACCATCACCAGCCATGATGCAGGATTAAATGGAAAACAGTATTTGGTATTCGTTGTCATCCAGAATGATGTGGACAATGCTAGCATTCTATGTAAAGCTGAAAATAGCGTTGGTGTACGAGAAAGGACATTTTACAGACGACCGATACGTGAGTAATCTTATATTTAATAAGAGTTACAAATGTCACTGGCTTAAGTCGAGCCAGTCCTTATGTTTTTTGCTATGATCTACCAAGCCATATTTGACTGTTTTGGTTTCTAATTTAGTCTTAAAGGAATCTTTTGCCGGCCAGTTTAGATTAACATACCCGAAATGGCAGGATAACCTTCAGGATGTAAAGTCAGCAGGCTACAATGATCTTAAACAGAAGTGCATCAAAATAGTAAGTAGAGTATAGTCATTTTCGTCCGTCCGTCCGTCCGTCCGTCCGTCCGTCCGTCCATCCGTCCGTCCGTCCGTCCGTTCGTTC